TCAAGTTGTTTCCAACTTATGGCAAACCTAAGACGATCTTATCATAGGATTGTCTTGGCAAGTTTCTTCAGAGGGGGTTTGCCATTACCATCCTCTGAGGCTGAAAGAGTGACTTGCCCAAGCTCACCCAGTGGGTTTCCATGGCTGAGCTGGGGTTCGAACCCTGGTCTCCCAGTGTCATAGTCCAATGCTCAAACCACTAAACCACGCTGGCCCTAGTTGGAGGGTATGACACTAGTCAATTACTAAAGAATAAATCTAATTGAACGAAGTACCGCATTGTTGTTGTTGTGTGCTTTCAAGCTGTTTCCAACTTATGGAGACCCTAACTTGGGATTTACTGGAGCTGAAAGTGTGGGACTCACACAAGGCCACCCAGTGGTTTTCCATGGATGAGCGGGGAATCGAACCCTGATCTCTGGAGTTGTAGTCCAGCGCTCACACCATTACACCATGCTCACTCTTCTTCTGAGGAAACAGATGTAGGAGTTTATCACACGGGGGAAATCCCGTGCGAAAACGGGGCTTTAAATTAGAAAAAAAATGCAAAAGCGGTCATGATTTCACATGACGTCGCTGCTAAAGTGATGTTAAAAGGTTAACCCAAATGAAAACCCCTCATTTACGCTTCTTTTTACTTTCAGAAAAACCCGAAAGTAAAAATGAGGGGTTTTCGTTCGGATTAACCTCCTTTTAACAGCGCTTTCACTTTTCACACAGGGAAGAACGGGAGAAATCCCATTCATTAAAAGCTTCCGCTTTTGCGGCTTTTTTTCACTTTAAAGAGCGATTTTGCATGGGGCTCCCCATGTGATAAATCCACAGAATTGCATTCCAAAGCATATCTATTGCACTCAGCAGCATCACTTCTCTTCAAATTTCACAGAAGAAGCCATGTTAGATTAAGTTCTTGCATGGAAGCAGGAAATGGTGCATCCCTAAAAGCATTTGTACCATTTCATATGATTAAATGTTTTCACCCGAAGAGAAACTCACTACAACAGAATGTTAGCACAGTAGAAGAAAATAATGAAACCTAGCTTTCTAGATGATGGGATAGCACTTTATTACAGGGCAGGCTGTTATTTTTAAATGTAAGGGTAATCGAGCATGTGTTTCTCAACACCAACACCTCCTGTCTGAAATGGTACTTCTGCACATCTGAACTGCTCCTCAAGGTGCAACACCGAGAAACCCAGGAATGTTGCAAGGCTCTTAAGATGCTTTCTGACTCAAATAATTTGTGTAGGCAGCAATCCTGTCTCATCAGCTGCACACACAACAGTCAGATGTAATATTATTTCAGCTTTGAGTTACTGCATAGACAAATGCTATAAATAGGACCAGGAAGAAAGGGTAAATACAGTCTCTTAAAGAAAGAAGGACTTCTGCTCGAATAGCATTACTTGAATAAATTCAAAATGATGGCTTGCAAACACTGGAAGCTCTGTAGCCTGCAAGAGACATTTATTTCCATGGAAAGGGCAGGTCTAAGTTTTAAAAAGTGATTATTTTATTTTATTTGGGGGAGGGGGGTGACAGTACGACAACCTGTTTCAAATTTTATATTTGTAATTTTTGTATTTTTTACAGTTTTAATT